ATTATAAAGAAAGCCCTGTATGATCAAATTATGGATTCTGAATTGGCTTTCTTAAGCATGTTTGTTAGTCTGTTCTAACATGTTTAGTTTGGATTGTTGGTATTGACATTTATATGGTCATTATTTTGTCAACTGTGCATGTAAATAAGCATGTTGATTATCTATTTCAAGATGCATAGTAAGGAGTAGTTGACATTGATATTTATATTTTCAATGTGAATCAATTATTGGTATTTTTAAGAATGGTTGCTAATGCATTCTATTATGTTTAGTATGGAATTGTTGATATTGTTGTTATAATTATCGATGCTTTATCAACTGATTGGTTTGTATGTACCGGTATGGGACGGTGACATACTGGGTTGGATTAGCTTAAATTGCTAAGTCCTACCTATTTTGGAGTAAGGGCACGGGTTATAAACTACAATCCTCCTTATATATTTATAAGTCGGTACGGTTGACTACGCCGAGTGACTTACTGGATTTCTGGTGGATGGATAGAAACGGAGTTTAGATATATTTTTATGTTACCGTGTCATGAGCTTGAGTCTCAGGGTCGACGGTTAGGGTGCGTATATGCAGTTGGATGTGTAGCTGACTGTGAAGGTTGAGGTATACCCTGTTTAGGTTTAGGTACTCATACCACTCAGGTGCGTATTGTGTGATGCCTTCTATCCAGGTTGAGACCCCCTTCATGGCCTAGCGAGAGTCCAGTAGTGTGGATATATTTATGTACGGATTATTAGTTATTGTTGAACTATTTAGTATGTACATGCGTATCGAGTCTCTGCTTGGATTGTAGTAGGTTAGAACTTGTTCGTGGGCCTGACCCACTCCTATTTTTCAGGTGTACGTCAGTTCCAGGCTTGAGCTTGTTCGTGCAGAGCAGAGACGATCTTCCATTCTACCGAAGATGTAGGGTTCTTTCCAGATCTTGGATTTGGGTTTTATCTTTTATTTTACTTTCATTTAGTGTAAGACTTTTATTAGGGGTCCACTAGAGATGGATTCCTGAGTTGTTCAAATTATGGATATTTGGTTTATCAAATTTAAGTATTTAATTATTTAAGGATTATCTTTTACTTTCTTTTCAGCTTTAAACTTTCATTTCTTAATTCATTTTGTATTCTGTGTTCGCTATAAAATATTAATTGTTTGATACTCCCTCGGGTTTGGGCCTGGCCTGATCAACCCGTGTCTCGGATCCGAGGGGTATCACAACAACTTTCACAGTGGCATTCAGAAGGATGTGTTTTCAGCTTTTTGTAGCCAGAGACAGAACAGGTTCCAAAGGAAGAAGGGATAGGGAAGGAATGGCCGAGCGAAGTCCGCCAATTCCCACCAACCACAATTAAATTCCGCCTCCAACCCTTTTCAAATGAGCTTTTATCAGTGCAGATCGACCGTTTGTCAATAGGAAAGAAGTGATAGTACAAGTCGTTTTGTGAAATCTTATTAATCCAATAGCAGAGGAAAAGGTCAATAATGTCAAGATTGAGACCCCTGTCACGATTTAAGAGCAGGAGAACTGAAATTACCCTAAGAAAGTTTGGGTTAACTTGCAGGGGGCAGAGCCCCAATTTGTTGAAAGCGTAACAAAAGAATGGGTGTACGGGGAACCTAATGACGTTCAGGTGAACGGCAAAGAACAAAACTTCCCCAGGAAGAAGACCCTCACCGGATCTCTCGTCTAAGTTTGTTGGATAGACTCTGAGGGAAACGTCGCGAGGGATACAATTCTTGGATCGAATGGTGTTCAGGTTAGGGGAAGCCATGAAAAAGGGGAAGAGTTCTAGGCAGTAAAGGCGTCTTTTAAGAAGAGGTTTTTTTTTTTAAAAAAGGAAGGAAACTAACCTTGAAAGTTTGTGATGAACTCAGCAACGGTACAGTAGCTAAAAATCGAAAATGAAGGACTTGCCGGAGAAATTAAAAAGGATCGCAGGAATATGCAGGAAAGTAACAGGGAGTAGAAGCAAGAGGTAAGAGAGAGGGTGAAGGAGAGAAAAATCAGAATTTATAAAGAAGAGAAGTAAAAGCGACATGGAACTCCAAAGGTCAAGGCAAAAAGTGGCGCTGCAGATCTCGAAACCTGGGTTCTTGTGCCAGCCGTTCGATTCCTCGAGTTATTACTCCAAGCCGTCAGACCAAGATCGTGTCCTTTTAATAATCTCACCCTCATTAAGGAGGAAAGAGATTATTGGGGGCAGATGAGGATACCAAAACGACCCGGGTTTGGAGTAATCCACATTGCATAGGATGGGTCAGGTGTGGACGAACAGGATGAAGCCAGTTCGCGCCGTATGGGCCCAGGTCCATAAAGCCATTTCAGAAGCCCATGATAGAATGAGAGAAATCGAGTCCAGCCAAAGGAGAGCAGGATAGGACCAGCTCAATGGAAGTTGTAACCGTCTATAAATAGAAGGGATTGAGAGGGAAAAGGTGTTGAAAAAATCATTGAGAGTGTAAAGTTTCTCTCTCTACAATTAGGGAAAAATTCTTTGTACTTTCAGTAGTAGAGTTTTATAGAAATAGGTAATTTGTAGAATATGTGGTAGAGTTTTATAAAAATTATTGTAGTTTTTTTAAATATATCCTTGTCTAATAGCACAACTTGAAAGTCTGGAGAATATTATTAATTTATTTTTATTTGAAAACAAAAAAAAAAAACATTGAATAAAGACCATTTCAAATCACATCTTACATCCACATTAAAAAAAAGGAATAATCTATTCAATTGCTCATGTGTTCAGTATTTGTACATCCAGACTAAAAAGTGGAATTCATTTCCTTCAAAATTCAATTTGTATAAATAATCTATTCCCATTAAATTGCTCTTATGTTTAGTTGGTTTTGAATAAGGGCTGTGTTATAAATAAATTAAAAATAAAAAAAAGGATAATTTCACTGACACCCCCAGTAGTTTGGCCAAATATCAGTCTAAAATATCTTTCGAAAATAACTATCAGTTAGGTCCACTTTTGCTTTTCCGTCACAGTCTCCGTTAAAAGCATGGGAAAAGACAAATTTGCCCCTTTTTTTAAATAACATTTAATTCAAAATATTATATTAGTTAAAAGACAATTATACCCCCGACAATTATACCACAAATAAAATCCGTAACTTCATCATCTCTCCGACGAAGAAGACATTTAAATGAGGACATTAGTCACCTTTGGTGCCGGAGGCGATGAAGACGACGAGGGCTTGGAGGTTTCTCTGTAAACATTTCCCAAGCCCATACACAATCAACGAATCTAATGTTTTATATTTTCCAGAATTGTCCACACCAATTTGGTATTAGAATTGGATGGCGCTTGGAATTGAATGAATCGAATGAAAAAAAAAATGTCTAAGCGAAATTGAACGAATTGGACTGGTTTGGACATCGAATTAGGGCTTTGAGTGATGCTTTATCTGAGAAACGAAACGGCCGCCGTTCAGAGAAAATCAAGGGTTCCTGTTAACGAAGCTTCTGCAAATTCTGGAAGATGAAGCTTCAATGTGTTTGATTGAAACTAATTCTGGAAGTTGAAGCTTCAGGGTTACTGTTAACAAAGATTCAATGTGTTTGATTGAACCTAATTTTTTTTTTTTTTTTTTCACTAATTGAACCTAATTTCACAAAACAAAGTCAGCGGCTGTGATGGCATCTTCCTGTTTTTATTTTGGTGGTTGGGTTATAGAATCGGTGGTTGTGGTGGTGGTAGGGAGAGAGAGGAATGGTGTTGTGGTGGTGGAGAGAGAGGAACGGTGTTGTGGTGGTGGAGAGAGACTGGTCTGGGAGGTATAGGGTGAGGGAGGCGACGATATATATATAGACCCAATTGGCAGTTGTAGAGGTCAATTCGGGTTTCGATGGTAACCGAAAGAGACTGAGGCGAGAAGACTTTTGGGCTACGGCGGTTGGATTGGCTGCTGAGAAGGGTTTTGGAAAGACGGTTGGTGAGGTCGGAGAGGGTGGTTTGGTGCTCAGCCACCACGATTCGGCTGTCACTGCCGCTGTCTCTTGTGCCGACATCCTCGCCGGTGTCGGTGGTGGTGTTGTGCATGTGTGTGTGTGTATATATATATACATATATGTCTCTGTGTGTATATACAGGAGTGTATATATATATATGTCTCTGTGTATGTATGGAGTATATATATATGTCTCAGTGTGTGTATATAGGGGTATATATATGTCTGCTTGTATATATAGTATAATTTGTAAATTTACAAATTTTTAAGGGGCCATATTGTCTTTTAACAATAATATTTTGGAAAAAAATAAATTAAAAAAATGAGAGTGGACCAAAGTCAATGGTCAAATTAAAGTCAAATGGTAAGAATATCTTTTTACAAGTAAAAAGTGGTCTGATATACCTGTAAACTAACTTTTGGGGTGTGAGTGAAAAACGGAGCAAACGATTGTAATGTGAGTGATAGTTATTTTCGAAATATATTTTAGACGATATTTGGCCAAATTATTGGGGGTGTCAGTGAAATTATTCCTAAAAAAAAATAAAAATAAGAATAAGAACAAGGGCATATGTTAGAGGGAGTAATATTTTTTTCAAGGATTAATTCCAATTCCAATTCAAAAAAGGATTTAGTTACAACGAGCGAAGGAATTATATGTAGATTCGGTCGCACCATAGCACAACTCTCAACTTGGTGTCCAAGTATTCTTCCTTATAAATTGACAAAGGACGCATAGAAGAAAGGAGTACTGTATATACTCATGAGTCCTAATATGCTCTCCGCTGGTAGACTTTCCGGGCCACCGGAAATTCACAAGATGCCGTCAGCCACCGAGCTCCGTCTTGCTTTCTACAACGGCGACAATGTAGACACCAGGACGGAGCCTCAACCATCCCAGCCGATGGACTTCACCGAGTTAACCAGTTGGCCACCGTTACCGACACCACCTATGGGCTACACCGACTGCGATGAGCCGATGGGTTTCACCGATGTAACCGTTTGGCCCCGGTTACCGACACAACCTATGGGCTACACCGACTGCGATGCGCCGATGGGTTTCACCGAAAACAACTCCCTAACCTACCTATCCACGAGCAATCCATGCCTAGACCTCTTCTTCCACGTCGTCCCCGACACGGATTCCGATTGTCTCACCGGAATGTTGAAGAAATCCTGGGATTTCAACTCGCTGACCACTCTGAAACTGGTATGCAATCTGCGAGGCGTCCGAGGCACCGGAAAGTCCGACAAGAAGAATTTCTACAGGGCGGCGCTTTGGCTTCACCAGCACCACCCCAAAACCCTAGCATCCAATGTCGGCGTGTTGGCCGAATTCGGCTACTTCAAGGACTTGCCGGAGATCCTCTTCCGCCTCCTCGAGGGACCTGAAGCCCGATCCATCGCGATGAGTGAGTGGAAGATGATGAAGGGTAGAAAAGGCAAAGGTAAAGGTAAAGGTAGAGGTAGATTCCGAAAAATGTATTTGGGAGTTACAGTCGCGAGGAAGCCGAAAGGGGAGAGCCGAAAGGAGAGGAAGGAAAGAAGAATCAACTCCAACATGGAGAAATTGAACTTGAATGATCCGGGAGAGAAGGCTAGGATTTTGAGGAAGGAGAGAGCGGTTGTCAAGGCTCAGAAGGCCTTTGGGAGGTACACTCGCGACCCCCAATACCAGTTCTTGCATGACAAGATTTCTGATCTCTTCGCCGAGCGTCTCAGGTCCGATATACATTGTTTGAAAACTGGAATGATGAACAAGATCAGTTTGGCAGGCAAATGGTGTCCTTCAATCGATTCTTCGTACGACAAGTCGACTCTGATTTGCGAAAGCATTGCCATAAGGGTTTTTCCTCGTGAGGATTATGAAGAGTACAGAGAAATTGAAGAAGCACATTATGTATATAGAGTCAGAGACCGGCTGAGGAAGGAAGTGCTCGTGCCTCTTCGTAAAGCTCTGGAGTTACCGGAGGTCTATATGTGTGCAAAGCAGTGGAACACACTTCCTTACAATAGAGTTGCTTCAGTGGCAATGAAGAAGTACAAGAAGGCCTTCCTGCAACGCGACAACGAGAGGTTTGCAGGGTACCTTGAGGATGTGAAAATTGGGAAGGCGAAAATCTCGGCCGGAGCATTGCTTCCCCATGAGATTATAGCCTCTTTGAGCGACGAAGATGGCGGAAAAGTTGCAGAGCTTCAATGGGCTAGAATGGTAGAGGACCTTGCAGGGAAAGGGAAGCTGAGAAATTGCATTGCAGTGTGTGATGTATCGGGAAGTATGAATGGTACACCTATGGAGGTTTGTGTGGCTCTGGGATTGTTAATTTCGGAGCTCAGTGAAGATCCATGGAAAGGGAAAGTGATTACTTTCAGTGCAAATCCTCAGCTTCATGAGGTGGAAGGAGATAGTCTTTTAGAGAAGACTTCATTCGTGAAGAGAATGGGTTGGGGTGGAAATACTGACTTCCAGAAAGTTTTTGATAGAATATTGAAAATTGCTGTTGATGGAAAGTTGAGCGAAGAGCAGATGATAAAGAAGATCTTTGTTTTCAGCGATATGGAGTTCGATGAGGCATCCAGGAAGGTTACATCTTATTCAGGTTATTGGTATAGGAACACTGAAGATTCAGAGAGTGATTCAAATTCTGAAGATGCAGAGAATGATTCAGAAACTGACGATGAGGAGGCATATGGGTATGGCCTGCGTGGGAATTCTTTAGGAGCACTAAGGAGAATGAACCGTCGACCGAAAGGGTGGGAAACAGATTATGAAGTCATACAGAGGAAATTTCAGGAAAATGGATATAGTAAGGTGCCAGAGATTGTGTTCTGGAACCTTAGGCACTCCTCAGCTACTCCGGTCACGGCCAAGCAGAGTGGTGTGGCGCTGGTAAGCGGCTTCTCAAAGAATATGGTGACTATGTTCTTGGAGGAAGATGGAATTGTCAACCCAGAGTTTATAATGGAGAAAGCTATCTCTGGTGAACTATATCAGAAACTCGCTGTATATGATTGAATCAAACTCGTTCAATGAATAGTTCTTTTTTTAATACTTTTATTCTTAATTTCACCCTGCCTCATTTATTTGGAGATGAATGGCCATATAGTTATTTGGTTTAATTTACATTGATCCTCTATAATCTATTTGGTTGTTCACTTTTGTTGGTTAGTAGTACTACTTCTGTCATTAAACCTCTCAATGATTGAGAATGTGAATTATGGCTTCTGGCTCTTTGATCCCTCATTGTTTTCTCTTTTCAAAATAATTCTGTTCCATGTTGAATTATCAATATGAAGGATTAATTGTTTAGACTTAATTATTTTATACATTTTGTGTATGCTTCACTTCCATGTTGTCTTTCTATAAACAGTTCCATTAATTTATTTTCAATGATCATCATTTGTAGTTTACTATTTAGAGGATATTAACATTTTGAATGGCCAATACTCTATTTCATCTTCCTTAACTAGACTCATTCCAGAGCTCGAGAACATCTCACTGCTCCCACCCATTCATCCATTCCATCTGCCCCCCCTTCCAGTCCATTTGTTTTTTCAGCCATCTTCCTTCCAGCTTTGAATCACTAGTACAATGGGCTTCATCTTCTTCCTAACTCGCAAGTTATCTTTAGCCACTTGTATCGGTGCAATCTGGCAAGAGAGAATCAGTAGGATCTTGAGGAACAAATCAACAAATGCTCAGTCCATCATCAAGCTCATCACTACACTTTTGAAGGCTTTGAGCTTAGGTAAGCTCCTTATTCCCCCTAGGGAGTTGATCTTCACTGAATACCATTGCTGTCCATAGTGCAGCTTGCTTGTACAGATTTTACTTCATCTATAAACTTACTTTACCTTGCCAAAAAAAAAGTGATCATTTTGGTGGATCGATGATTGTGTTACTAATACATTGTTGCTTGTTTTGGTACTGGATTTAATTTATAAATTAATTCTGGAATTAATTTTATTCCAAATGTGTTTATAGTATAAAGTTAACACTTTATTTGATCACAATCTATTTTATACTCAGATCTGAAGTTTACCTGACTTAAATTTTCTTCCTAAATAGAACTGTGAAGTTATATTGTTGGACTGTATCAGGCTAAAATAGTTCCCAACTCCAACTGTATTAGGATTTGCTTAGAACCCAAAGATTTCCCCTGCTCTGTGTTGTAGTATTTTTTTTGTCTATGTAATTTTTTTTTGTTAAGAATACTAGCCATAAAAAAAGATTTAGAATCTAAATAAAACACTAGGCAATGTGTTCTTATTTAAAGTTTGCACCCATTAGATGGACTATATTCATTCGATATCACAGCATTGGGGGGTCTCCTTGTGCTTTAATGTAATTTGCTTGATAGTAAGTAATGCGTCACTCATTTCAGTTCTTCACATGGTACATAGACCTCTGCTTTGTTTCACTGAAAGCATCTTTCAGCAGTTAGACTTAGATGTCATTCATTTGACCTACAGACTTGATATAAGCACAAGCAAAGAAACATAAATTTTCAGCTTCTCTTTTAATTTACTAATCTTTAATCAATGTCTGCAATGGAGAGAGTTATCTCTGGTGAACTATATCAGAAACTTCTTGTATATGATTGAATCAAATGTTCAGCACCTAATCTTTTGATGACTTTCAACGAATTGTCCTTTGTTAATACTTTTTTTTATTTATTATTAATCTCATTCTGTGCTGAAACTAATTTCCTTCTATGCTTTGTTTAATTGGAGATGAATGGCCATAAAATTATGTTGTTCAAAACTAATTTCCTTCTATGCTTCTTTTTAAATTTATTAATCTCATTCTGATTGCTTGCTCCTTCTTAGATTTGTTGTTGCTAACTTTCTCAGCTCAATTGCTTGCTCTTTTCAAAATGATTCAATTCCTCATTGTCAATATAAAGAATTATTTGTCTCGACTTAATTATTTCATACATTTTGTGTGGCTTCTAACAATTATAGATGATTTCGGTTCACCATTTGGTAGTCAGTGCCTTCTAACTCCAGGAATGACAAAATGAATGGACTCAAGTGGCTCATTAAATCATTCAAAATAGAATAAGAAAATAGTAAGAAATCATTCATTGAATAATGGATGAACTTATAGGGCTTTGAATCTGTATTGAAACTGCACTGGGAGGAGGACTTAATTTGTTTGAGCTGCAGAGAGTCCGATGGGTTGAGTCTGATTGAAGACCTCTAGAAGCCAACACTACGGTCAAGCAGATTGCCCATAGCTCAAACCATTCTTCTCTAACTTCCTGTTATGATTCTTACCGATGGAAGTGGAAAACTTCCAAGTTATCTTCTATAAACAGTTCCTCATTTTGTAGTTTACTATTCAGTGGATATTACATTTTGGTGGATCACTGATTGTAACTAATAATACATGGTTGCTTGGTTTGGTTATTGATTTAATTTTATAAATTAATTCCAACTGTGTTTATAATACAAAGTTAATACTTTATTTGATCATAATCTATTTTATACTCAGATCTGAAGTTCACCTGACTTTATTTGCTGTAGGTCAGGCTGAAATAGCCCCCTACTCCGATTGTAACGTCTCTTTGAAGTTGAAATTGCAGGAAATTAGGATTTGGTTGGAACCAGAAGTTTTCCCCTGCTCTGTGTTGAGTATTCTTTGTTCTATGTAATTTTTGTTAATAATACTTACCGTAAAAAAAATTTAGAATCTAAATAAAACACTTGACAATGAGTTCTTTAAAATAGTTTTGCACCCATTGGATGGACTGTTTCATTCAATGTCGCGGGATTATGGGGTCCCTTGTGTTTGCTTGATAGTAAGTAGCGGATCACTCATTTCAATTCTTCACATGTTACATAGACCTCTGTTTTGTTTCACTGAAAGCATCTTTCAGCAGCTAGACTTGGATGTCTCATATGATTTGGACTTCAAACTGCTTTGATTCATTTGACCTACAGAATTAATATTATTACAAGCAGAATGCATAAATTTCAAGCTTCTTTTTAATTTACTAATCTTTAATCAATGTCTGCTCCACGTATTCACTTTTCCATAAAATGGAGTAGAATGGCAGCTGGGATTCTGCAACTGCTGTTGTCCCTCAATGTGGAAGAAAGTGGCAAATTGTTTAATAGGCATGCATCAAAATAGATGATGATTATTTGGTTAGGCTGCTTATTGGGTTGATTCTTGCTAAACCTCAGCTCAGGCTGATCACAGCTCAGGCTTTTCTTCTTTTGCATTTTTATCTTAGTGTTGTACCTCTTTTTTTTTTTTTTTTCCCCCCATTTAGCAAATTCTCTCCGCAATTTCCCTTCTCGTTCTATAATTTATAGTAATACATTTTAGTTTCTTTATTAAACATGATTAGCATTTATAATTATTTCAAATATTAAATGGATTTGTTCTATACCAAATTGATTTAGATGTCCTTTTCTTTCTGCTATCTATTTAATCTTTGTGTAGGATCAGTGAATAATTTCTTAGCTGATAGCATTTGGATAGTCCCCATATCTGAACCATGTAGAAAGTAGAAACCTGTCTTTAAATTTTTCTGAGGCAGATTCTTCTCTGCATGTGTATATAGTTGATTTATATGTTCATATATGTTCTTATGGAAATTGTATGATATGTCTTTTCTTTTGCAGCATTTCACCTTCTTGTGCATTTCCTTGCAAGTGTAGAGTGTGAAAGTCGTCATTTTTATATTGGTTGTCCAACAGCCAACTCAGAACCCTTTTTTTTTTTTTTTTTTCTTCCTAGTTGGTACTCACACACACATGCCTCCATGGAAACCCTTCTTCATTCTAGATTGAAAAAGTGGATACATTTTTTGTATTGGATTCTGTAGTTCCATATAGTTTATGCATATTCTTTTTTTCCCCCCTATTTTTTTGTTCTCTCTTTTTCTTTCTTTCTTTCTTCTTCTTCTTTTTAGTTTTTTTACTGTGCTTCAGATTGATATTCGGTTGTTGTATTGGTTTCGAGCTAAGCTCAATAAAGGGATTTGTGGATATGGGATGGAAAACAGTTTCTCGATTAGCTGAGTACAACAGAACTAGGGACCTAAATTGTTATTTCACCGTTTTGGGTTTATTGCAGATTAAAAATGGCAATTTAGGTTCTTTACTCTTTTCATTCCTTTATTTTGAAGTTAATCTTTGAGAAGGGGGCAGGGGTGAGGATTTAACCAAATTTATATTTGAGAAATGAATTTCATTCTTTTCCATTATCAATACCATATGTGTATTACGATGGTCACTAGTGGAATAAAAAGTTGATTTGGACATTCTTGAGATGATTTATTTATTTATTTATTTTTCCACAGAACTCTGATTAAACTGTTGTTACAGAGAGAATATGACCTTCCAAATAGTACCTAATTCTAGTTTCTTTATTCTCAAGCCTTGCTTTTATCAGCTCCACAAATAGAAGAATCATGGATACAAATTTTTATTTTATTTTATTTTATATATTTTTTATTTTTTTGTGCTCATCTTTATTAGAATCCTTGTAAATATGATTCCATTCACTTACTGAATCCTGTACATTTTGTTTTTCATATATAGAAATCTTTTATATACCCAAAAAAGAGGGAATACCTTAGCTTGGTGCCTATTGATGATGTGATTTGGACAGTCTACATTTGTTTTCCATGTGAAGCAAATTGGTGATGTTCTTTGCAGGTATATTCCAACAAGCTTGATGGTCATAAAGATGATGATGATGTCATGGAGCCCTATTTGGACGATATCACGTGGGAGGAGAAGAGGAGGCTAGCATGCTTGTTGAATGTAGATGAAATTCCCTAGTCTATTTTTGGCTTCTCTTACATGTTATCCTGTTCACCTCAATGAGCCGGTTATTGTTGTTCATATTATTTTATCATGTATACTTTTCATTTTGACTATTTTTATTATTTTGAATATTTATTTTTATCATGGCAAGAAACTCGCAATCCCACATGCTCCCTATGGGGACTCAAATCGTCATCCTTTTCCTTTGTCAGGCAAGGAAGTACCACTGGG